AAAAAAAAAAAAAAAAAAAAAAAAGACTCAAAATTATGCCAGACCTGTTGGTGTACTCCTATAATCCCAACACTCAAGAGGTTGAGGCAGGAGGATTGCTGCAAGTTCCAGGGCAACCTGGGCTACATTGCGAATTTAAGGCCAACGTGAACTACATAGCAAGATCCTGTTTCAAAAAGAAAAAAATATGCTCGGAATTTAGCTCAGTGGCTCTGCTGCTTGTCTCACAAGCACAAGGTCGAGGTCAATCCCTGATACAAAAAGAAAAAGAAAAAGAAAAAAAAAATCAAACTTTTGATACCCTTGCCTTAGCCTCCCAGAGCACCGGGATTATAGGCATACACCATCACATCCAGCGATAAATGCTTTTGTGTAATTAAAAATTCCTTCTGGATGTGATGTTTAATGTATATGGTATTATACTACATTGAATAATTTATTAAATCAATTATCTAATGCTGGACATTCAAGTTGTTCCAAAGTCTTTGAGTCTTCAAGTCACATGAGGATCGCTAAACTTATACATAAATCTTCATTTTTAGCTCTACTTTCTTAAGATAAAACTTTAGAATGGAATGATAGGATCAAAGGAAATACTTCTAAGAAATCTGATCTCTGGGTCCGGGCATTTAGCTCAGCAGTTCGGTGGCCTGCCTTGCAAGCGCAAGGACCCAAGTTCAATCCCCGGTACCAAAAAAAAAAAGAAAAGAAAAAAGAAATCTGATCTCTACTACCAAATTGCTTTCTAGAAAGAAATCACCAACTTCTTTTTCTTGAGTACAGGGGATCGAACTCAAGTCCTTGCACTTGTGAGGCAGGCAGCAGATCACTGAGCTAAATGCCCAGCCCTCCAATTTCTAGTCTTTGCAGCAGTATGAATGTGTCCATGCTTTGAAACCTATGAATTGCTCTCAGAGATGACAAAGACAAAGATAATAAAGAAAAAGAAGGAAAAGAAAGAGGAAGGAGAGAAGAAGGAATAAAAGAGGGAAGGAGGAAAGGAGGGAAGAAAAAAGGAAAGGAAGATAAGAAGGGAAGATCTGAGAAATGATAAAGTAGTATCTCTAAGTCTCTAGTTAATTGTATCTTATCTCTAAGCCTCTAGTTGAAATCCAATTAAGAACTAGAATGACCACTTAATAGTGGGGGGGGGATATAGATAGAAAACAAGGTTCCTCTCCACTTGTTTCATGCTAAAAGGAAGGTGCTATTCTTTGCAGCATAAAATTTATTACCTCCTATCATTGGAGGGAGCGCCATTTCAAGACATCGGTGAGAACACTGTCTCATTACTGAGAGTATGAATATATTAGGGAAAGCAGAATGACTTCTATTTCATAGAGGTAATAACCCTCCATTTACTTCATATGTTACACAAGACCTTTGGTCACCTGAAGTTAGAATGAAAAACAGATAATGAGAAAACTATGAGAATAAAGAGAAAATTCAGTTTTCAAAATAAAGATCAAAAATTCAACTTAACAGATATACTGGGATAGAAAAAAAGCCACTCTGATACAATGATCCAACAGTCTGATTGGCTTACCCAGATAAATGGCTTCACTTATTAACAAGCACTCCAGAAAGCACCAGAGTAGTGACAGAGCCCTGCAGAAGAAGGCTGGTGGCAATCAGCTTACCTCTTTCTGTCACCGTTAGCTCCGTCAGGGGAATATTATGGTGCACATCTGGGGGATTCTTCACAGCACAGCTGAATGTCCCATTGTCCTTTAAAGTAGGGTTGCTTATACTTATGGATGCATCCCCTTTATAGACATTTCCAGCCCAGGAAATCCGATCCCGAAATGTGCCTGCTGTGGTTGGGTACTGGAAAGACTGATAATGAAAAATCTAAAAATCAATACCATAAAAGAGTTAATTCGGAAAATGAACTGAAAATGTAGAGCTAAGCAGGTTCAAAGTAAAATACAACTGTATAATGGGTTTTTCAGATGGTAATTTTTAAATGCTTTTTTCACCTCCATCATGTAATAGGAAAGAAAACCTAATAAAACTGATTAGAAAAGGGACTGATAGCCAGGCGTGGTGGCACAGGCCTGTAATCTCAGCACTCAGGAGGCTGAGGTAGGAGGATCGCTGTGAGTTCGAGACCAGCCTGGGCTACATAGTGAGTTCCAGGTCAGTCTCAACTACATAGTGAGACCCTGTCTCAAAAAAACCAAAAAATAAAAGAAAAAAAAAAAAGAAAAGGGACTGATGAGAGAATTCTCAGGCCCTAACCATTGAATCTCTTCTAAATTCTCTGTAAAGTAAAAAGTAATAGCCTTCAATTGGGGCAATTTCACTCTCTATAAAACACTTGGTAATATCTGGAGATCTTTTTTAAATTTTATTTATTTTTTAATTGACAAATAAAAATTATATATATTTATAGGGTAAAATGTGACTTTTCTTTTCATTGCTGGGAATTGAAACTAGGCCTTAATGCATACTAAGCTCTACCACTGTGCTTTCAAATTTCTGAGGAAGCTCCATACTATTTTCCAAAATGGCTGCACTAGTTTACATTCCCACCAACAGTGTGTGAGGGTTCCCTTTTCCCTAATCTTTGCCAACACTTGTTATAATTTGTCTTTTTTATAATAGTCATTCAGAAGGTATGAAGTGGTTCTAATTTATATTTCCTTGATAAGTAGAGATGTTTAGCATTTTTCATATACCTGTTAGCTATTAATGTCTCTTCTTTTGAGAAATACCTATTCAGATCCTTTGCCCATTTTTAAATTGAGTTCCTTGTCCATTTGTTGGTTTCAGTGCTGAGTACTGAACTAAGATCCTCAAACATATCAGGCAAGAGCTATACCACTAAGCTACCCACAAGCCCCTGGTTACTTGTTTCTCTGTTACTGAGTTGGAGACAGTTTTGGTTGTCACAAAGGGGAAAGGAACTACTGCTATCTAGTGGGTAGAGGCCAGAGATATTGCTAAACTTCCTGTAGTACACAGGGAAGCCCGCTCAACAGAATCAACCTGCTCACAGTGTCAACAAGTAGAAATATGTTGCTTTAAATATGTAAGGGCCAGGGATTTAGTTCAATGGTGCCATGCCTGCCTTGTAAGCACAAGGTCCTGAGTTCAATCCCCAGTATTGGAAAAAATAAAATAAAATCTATAATTTATTTATTTATTTTTTTTGCTACACTGAACCTAACTTTATTCATGCTTAAAATCTAATATTTATAGCTGGGCATGGTGGCTCACGCCTGTAATCCCAGCACTCAGGAGGCTGAGGCAGGAGTATCGCTGTGAGTTTGAGACCAGCCTGGGCTACATAATGAGTTCCAGGTCAGTCTCAACTACATATGAGACCCTGTCTCAAAAAACCAAAAAATTAATAAATAAATAAAAATATAAATATAATATTTAGATAGTACTGTACAGTCTGCAAATGACTTCTGCATATTTACTCAATACTCAAAACAACACTAGACTAGGTGAGACAAGTATAACTATCACAAATTTATAAAAATGGAAATAAGACCAAAACCAAAAAACTACGTGAGCTACTCAAAGACAAAAATTAGTACTCAACAAAAGGGAGATTTCTGCTTATTCTCAAAATCACTGGGAGGATGTAGTACAACCCAGCATCTCTCAAGTTATCTACCTTGGCAGTTACTATAAACCCAATTCAAACATATAATAAGCACTCAATGAATGTATGTTGAATTTTTTAAAATGCTATGCTGGACTTGGTCACTGAACACCTCATCACCAAAAGCACCTAATGACACCTGAAGGTGAGCCAGGCAGGTGCTATATAAGATTTTTCTCTTATGCAAAAGACAAGGCTTTCCTCTTTCTTTGTTTGCTTAATACCTTCCGACTTAGGAAATCATGCCTTTGTAACCACTGAATTGCCCAATTTTGAGAGTAGTTTTCCAGAGAAGATGATGAATCATTTATTAGTTCATTGTTCAAATATTCAGTACACATCAACTATATTCTAGCCAGAGTGGTGAGTAAAAAGACATAGAGGGAGCCATACAGGCACAGTCTCTACTCTCATAAAACTTGCTTTCTTGTGGTAAATATCAATATTAAGAAATAATATGGGCTTGCGATTTAGCTCAGTGGTTCTGGTGACTGCCTCGCAAGTACAAGGACCTGAGTTCAATCCCCGGTACCAAAAAAAAAAATAATAATAATAATAGGCATAATGAATTCTCCAGAAAGGAAAAGGTCTACCACTGATTATCAGCATCAGGGTAAAAGGGTTTTGCCAGGTGTGGTGGTACATGCCTATCATGTTAGCACTCTGGGTACTGAGGAGGAGGGTCACAAGTTGGAGTCCAGACAAAGCAACTTAGTGACTTAGCAAGATCCTATCTCAAAAAAATTTTTAAATTAAAATAAAAAGAAAATGGATACATATTGAGGATATACTCCTAAGTGAAATAAATAAGTCACACATGTGCAAATACCGAATCGTTTCTCTGGTGTGAATAAACTATAATAGTACATAAGATCCTAATGAGATAATCGACAATGTGAAATAGGAAGAAAAGGGCTAAAGGTGTAGGGGAAGTGGGAAGGGTAGGGGAAAGGTAATAAGGGAAAGAAAAAAAATAGGAGAAAATGAAAAAATGGAAATAAAATGTTTGTAAATGGGGAGGGGAGGAGGGGGTGAAAGGAGGGCAGGGATAAGGGGAAAAAATGAGAACCAAGACCTGTCATGTAAAGGTACAAGATCCCAATAATGAATGTAATTGTACTGTATACCTAAAATGTACCAATAAACTCAATGAGAAAAATAAATAAATAAATAAAATAAAAAGGACTAGGGAGGTAGCTCAGTGCAAAGGACCTGGGTTCAACCCTTAATGCCACCCAAAATTAATCAACTAATTAAAGTGTTTGAAACTCCTTATTGACCAAAATTAATTAATTAATAGTGTTTGAAATTCTTATCGACAAAATATGGCCTGCCATGTACCTTCAAGGTTAATCTAACTTATAAGTTCCATGTTAAATCAGTGATACTGAAACTCTTGCTAATGATTAACCTGATAGAATCTGATTAATCATGTAACTGCATCATAGTGGACCGTAAGAGTACTAATTCTT